CTGTGAAATACCAAAGAAGAACATTTAATTTGTTGAGAAAAACCATAACAAATTAATTTTGTCTGGATTATATTTAATTTGGTTTAACATGTAATCTCATTCAGTGTTGTGTGGCCTCTGTTTTGGTCTTGTGCGCTCTTATTTGGTTGCTTACACTGTTTCCAATTATTGGTCTCATATGTTTGATCTCTACTGGTTCTTAATAAAGCGTAGCGTAGTTTAAACATAATTAGTTTTTTAGCATTAAATGGTGTAATATGGTCCCACGCAGTTTGCCAGAAAGAGTTTGGTTTTACCAAAAAAACAGCATCAGGGATTCTTTTCTGATGTTGACCATGTATCTACCTACCAGCTGCTCACTCTCTCAGGATCCAACAACAAGCCCCTCACAACTGTTCCATTTACTGACTCATGACACTGAGCACTGGACAATAACTTGATGTAACCATCTAAATACCTCAAAGCTGGGTTAACATGCATTGTTTAAGCATTATCCTCAACTTTTAGCAGGTTTAAGGTCAGATCCTTCCCAGGTGAGCAATGTTGTTATGTTTCATAGAGTCCAACATCAGTATTGGTATGTTTGTTATGCTGAACTGTGTATAAAAGTGCATTATCCAGCCCAGGGTTAAAGGTGTAGAATATGAAGGCAGTACTTTCTTATGCTTCCATATAGGGGAATGCACTCATACCATCTGGAGATGGAGAGACAGCGCCAAAGGCTCATTTCTAAAGCAAACCACGCCTGTCTGAACCCAGTCCAGGATTACAATCCCTATACTGGAACAGCAGTGTGAATACATCTAGACAAAGCCCCACTGCATGATACTAATGCCATCATGATTGACAGGAGCTGAAGTGTTTCTCTTTCCAAAAAACACTTCTTATCATTGTGGCCAAACAGTTTAAATATGTTTGTAGCAGCCAATTATTTTTGTTAATAATTAAAAATGTTTTTTGTTTTTGTGCATAATCTAGCTAAGTTTATTTTACTTTATTGTTTGATATCTGTTATGAAATTATGTTTTTTGGTTATTTAGTCATGTTCCTTTATTTTTGGTTAGTTATGATTAATTTAGGTTAATAATCTTTTTTATAAATAGGCAGTCAATGGTAGGACCAGCATGCATCTGGGTGGGTGTATGATTTTTTACCAGCGCAAGAGAAACATGGAGGAAAATGTTTTTTTGTTTTTGTTTTTTTTTTTGCGTGCCTGAAGAAAAAATAAACTGAGAAAACTAAAGGAGTTTACCTGGAACATTTTTTCTTTTGCCTGCGTAAAATAAGTCCATGGTGCATCTGTGGCTTTTGTGGATTTCCACTTTTTTGTGTCATCAAAGTTGGGCCACAACAATGTTTATTGTAAAAAAAAAAAAAAACTAAAAACTTTGGCTTTGTCTAGGTGTGTGGTTGCAAATTTTAGTCCATTCTGATGCTGATGATTCTGAGCTTGGACTTCTTCTCTGGCAGGTTGCCTGTTTGACCATGGTGAGGTTAACAGTTGTCACTGTTTATGAATGGTCAAACAGGTTGGCCAGCAGTTCACAGCCAGGTCTTGAGCCTTGGTGCTTCCTGGTTTGTTCCTGAACATCCAAATTAATTTCTATCCATCTGGACACTGCTGAGACTGCCATCTGGACATTGATCCAAAATTAAAATTCAGTCTCTTCCAAGAAGCCAAACAATTTGAAAAGTTCACATTCTTCGAATACAACTATTCACACAGATTGATGCCGCACAGGCATCTGCAGTAAATTCAAACCTTCCCACAAAATTCTTGTTTATTTTTAAATCAAAAAATCATTCTTTTCTCTGCTGCATACTGTAATCATTCCACCCATGAAAACGTTTGATCACAACTGCAAATCTGTTCAATTCTCGTCTATTTGCTGTACTTTGAATATACACAATAGTGTTTTGCACTTTGCAATGACCAAAGTAATTTTTCTGTTTCCCTTTATTTTGATTATGCTCTTGGATTGCATGTGAAAAAGCTTGTTAGTCTGGCATAACTGCAATATGAAGACGCCTGCATTGTTCAATGTGGTTTTTCTTTTTTATAGAAAAACAAATGTGGTGAAATGTTTCAGAGCTCTTTTTCCCTCCTCTTCTCCCCCCAAACCACCTAAGCTGTATATGAGGAAAAACTCATCAGAAACTATGACTAAAACTAGTTTTTCTCCTGATTCTCTCCTTATATTCACCATGTTCTCTTTGCAGGCCTACACAATTCAGGGACAGTATGCCATACCACACCCAGACGTAAGTTCTCTGCATTTTTTTTCTCTAATTCATTTAATATTAATCACTAAATCCCAGCTCAAAACAGATAGTTACACTCTATAAAAAGACAAAACATTAAATCACACTACACCTTCCCAGGTTTAGGTCAGTTTGGAGTAACAAAACGGTTTGTATTTTGTAAAAAGACAGAATAATGAGACAATTCTATCATAAGTATTTTCACATTAATTAACATCCTTCCACAAGCTTCTCACAACAGCTGCAGGCTCAGGTTTGTTGTCCATCTTGTTCTCAGTCACCATTTATCTATGGGAATGACATCAGACTTTAGATGCAATGCAGTCACCAAGGTGATCATGTTCTTCTTCATGGAAGCTTGAATCTGCCATTGTTTTCACCTGGCCATTATGGTTACTGTTACAACAATATTAACAAAAATGCTGTTCTGCAAGGTATATTGTTTGCAAAGTTTATAAAATATATTGTTTGGAATTAGGTAGTAAGTGAAGATTGACCTAATGTGACATACATAGTAAAGAACTCCCTGAAACAGTCATCGCTGGACAGTTTTGCTGCTCTGTTACCTCAACTTTTCCACTCAGAACTTTGACTTTTAGTGACTTTTAATTTGACGGCCACTCCATGCATTGACTCTGTTGTCTTTAAAGTTTTTTTTATCATGCAAAATCAACTGTTTCTTTTAGCCTTTAACTGTTATTCCTTCATCAAAACCATGTGCAAAACGGTATTTTGATTTATTTATTCAACTTTAAGTAATCCTGAGGAGTTCTGCTGAAAACGAAAGGACAGAGAATAGCTCTATAATAAGGCTCCATCAAGTAAGCACCTACCTTAACTGCATTGTGCATACACTGCAGACCAATGCCCACTTTCTCCAATCATGTACACTTGATGTGAGGAAGAGCACAATGATTCTGGCTCAGAGTTGAGACAAAGTAGCTCCTTTGGGAGCCAATTTGCACAGGAGCGGCAACTTTTTCTATATTACTGAAAGTCTAAGTTTAAAAAAAAAGTTTTTTGGCCTCAAGAGGTCTTTTATTTTATTCAGCTTTCAGTAGTGTTATGATACACTGATGTCACAAAATGGGTGGCACCCAGGCAGAAATAGGTGTGTTTTGTTTCTGGGCAAATGTTTTTCTTTGGGGTTGGAAGGACATAACAAATATTTTTTCGCTAGTTGACTATGAAATGCTTAAAAAAGCATGATATTTAAGAAATCCTAAAATGAGTTTTGTAGTATACTTTGAGTTATTGGCCATTTGGAAGACCCAATTGTGCTAAGGCTTTACTTGCTGGATGACGATTTGATATATTGCTTTAAAAAATTCCACATCGTTTATCGTGATGCCATCTTCTTTGTGACATGCACAAGTACCTCCTATAGTAAAACACCCCCAAAACATCATGCCCACCCTTCACAGGGTAATGGTGGGCATTACAGGAAAATACTGCAAGTTAAATTCTATCAGATCCAAGAAAATGTCTTCCAAAACAATAATGTATTTTTCCCTCAGAGACTTTACTTACTCTTTATTCCTTTATGTTACCTTTGGAAATATGGCTTTATCCTCTAAGAATGGCATTTTAGCTCATGATGGCAATGTCTCATCTGCTTTGGCAGCATCTTCAAAAGGTCGTCTTTCTTTTTGGGGAGGGGTGAAATCACACATTTAACACACAAACGCGTTTATCTCTGAGACAACGAACATGTCTCTGTCCTAACCATTGTGGTTCTTACCCTTTTTATATTTGGGTATTATAATTTGAACAGAGGAACCTGAGACTATCAGGTATTCAGAAATTCGGAGGTCCACGATTTTGTTTCTAACATCTCATCTGGTTTTCTCAGCATCTCTCACAAGATAAAGGAACTTTTAAAGTGTGGTGTTGAGACAGATCTAGTAAATTTAGATGTCTTTAAATTAACCTATCAGAGGCTTACAAAGCCATTAGATTATCTACTGGGATTTATGAAAAATTTCAAAGTAATGTTAATCTCACTATTTGTACATTCCTGACTTTGAATAAAGTAAGACAATTATAAGAAAGATTTGTAATGTGTTATTCTATAAAGTCTAAATAAAATATACGTTTTCTTTTAATCCTAGACATGGGTCTTCTCAGTAATTTGGAATTAGATCTGTCTACCAGTGGTTGATCAATACCAAAACAAATAGAGCTCCTAATAATAAAGCCAAAGACAGAGGGAGCAGTTTGGATTCAGAGACCCTCTTAAATTCCAGCGTCCATTCCCATCTCTGTTAATCTGCCTTCATCTGTCCTTGTCGTTAGAGCATCTCAAGAGCCACCTTGTGTCAGATCCACTAATTCAAAGCCAAACTGTGATTGATGCCAAAGGAGCTGTTGGCTGACGGTACAATCACTCAGACATAGACTTGACACCCTTTTCCACCCTTATTAAAAACTCCCTTTAAAAGGACAGGAAGCTTTTAAAGCATCCCAGGTGGAAATTACCTGAAGAGCATGTTAAGCTACAGGTTGGATCAGTAGTAGCTTTTTGAAAGGCCCGTGGATCTTGATGAGGGGAAGTTAGGATGCGGTGATGCGTGAAAAAGAAAAAAATACAAGCAGGCAGGAAAACGACTCAAATGACCTCATAATATGCATCTTCAAGAAGAAAGACATCGTCTCTTTGTCTCTGTCGCTTTTTGTCTTCCACCACCCTGTGACATGGCCTCCTTCTCTTCACCGTTTCTCCGTCCTGGTTTATGTTTCTTTTTTATTGATATAATTTACTTGGTGTGACCTGTGTATCAGTAATCTCTTAGTTTTACTTTCCCTCCTAACCCTTCAGCAGTTGACCAAGCTCCACCAGTTGGCTATGCAGCAAACCCCCTTTACCCCTCTTGGACAGACCACCCCTGCTTTCCCTGGTACGTACCCACAAGGTACCCCTGTAGATGTTTTCTTCTCTTTGCATCCAGAGAAATCTATTTCTTCTTTTCCCCTACCTTGCACCTTATCTGTTCTCAGACACAGCATGAGTTTTTGCCACTGTGGTTTCTTTCTTCCTTTGATTTTTTCCCCCCATATATATATATATATTCTTTTTTTGCCCCTGTCTAAAATTATACCAGTAAAGAGGAAAAAAAATAGCAGCTGTAAACCACTCTTTATAATAATTTATTCAGAATTATATTATCACCCGACAACAGGTAGCATAATTTACCAGCATGTCTTCAAGGCACTTTAACTTTCCTCTAAAAGTGGAAATTCACAGACTAAATAATACAGTTCAACCTAAATGTTGATATTTACCAATGACAATAATAATGCTCCTTTTGTTTAATACCAGTGGCATTCAAATAATAAAAATAAAATAATAAATTAATAATATCAGAGCACATACGTCCATAACAAAGAATATGGAGCAAACTCTAATACGAATGATCCTGGAAATGAACAAAGCACAAGTCAAGCATGACTAAAGTCACACATTACATATAATACTAAAAAGGGGAGTTTTAAGCTGTGGATTGAATGTGGATAGGTCTGTACATACAGTCACTGATTTGTTTGGGGAGTTAGTGTCTAAGTCTGTAGCCACTGATGCTAATTAATGGTTGTGCTACTGAGGAAAACATATATAAGTTGGAATAAAATGACACATCTTTGATGGTGTCGAAGGCTGCAGTGAGGTCTAGGAGAAAGGATTCAATCCTTTTAACTGTAAGTATTACAGGCTGCACACAAATGTACTCCCAGCTTGGTTGCACATATGAAACACTTGTATTAGAATGTAACAAAGAAGGGTTCTTACATTTTCTTAAACTAATTTCATGGT